TCACCTTTGTCCTTAGAAGGGAGATGTACGCTCCGAACGCTCGCAAATGGCGTGCGTTTGTCGAGCTCGAGATTATCCGCAGTTCCTGCAAACGACGAACACGTTTCAGAAGGAAAAATAACCAAACCGAAAGAAGACGATCGCACGCCTTAGCGGTTCGAAGCGACTCCGATGCATGGGGATGGCACAGATGTTCACTCTTCTGTTTTGCTGACATGAACCGTTTTCACCTGAAAAGACAGACGAGAGAGCTCAAGGAGAAGTTGTCATGGCATTCCGCCTTGCGGTGATTCTAGGGTATGCGACAAGTTCTCACAACGACGTGGACAGCGAGAGGAGACGTGACGTGGCCAAGGACAGGGGGCCTGACGGAGGCAGAGGATGATCGGATATCGAACGACTTGAGTGTCATCGGAGCACGACTAATCAAAGTTGATATTTTGGCGGGAAGCCAGCTTGGATCCACACGTTGCTGAGGCAGTCATGAACAGAGGTCAAGTGTTCCTGCTCTCCACCCCGTGGGGCACGGAACGTGGAATACCACAGGCATCAGTCAGCTAGGGGTCAGGGTCATAAAAACAGGATACACCAGTACGATTGCTTGGACTCACGTCGCAGCCGAGGTCGTCGTGAAGCAGCAGGGTAGTCCCGCTCTCCATGAAGATGTTCTTCGTCATTAGCCAGATGCTGTCGTCAAGGAAGCGTTGTTACATGTGAAGGTGTACTGTTTCCATGCAATCCACCGCACCGTCACCTAAAAAAAACGAGGAGGAACCCTCGCGCAAGGCAAACGGGGTCCCTAAATTGTGTTGCTCTCACGGCATGCTGATCGGATCGTTGGTCGCACAACCAGGGGACGATCCTCCCGCCCCCCCGGCCTCTCAGTTCAGGACTCTTCTCTGTCTTTGAAGATTGAGGTTGACGTACACGCAACGCTCGACGATTTCTAGAAAATTTCATCTCTATCCCATGCAAGTAGAGAAGAGTTGAGGATCAATTCGCAAAGCATCGATATTGTCGCATTGGCTTTTTTACCTGTGTTTCTACCAAATCCCGGAGCAACATAAACAGGTGCCACAAAGCGGTCACAAAGCAGTTTGGTGCCCTTCGTGTGTCGTATGTGACTACAGCACGTATGCGCTGAATATAGAAAACGTCGGTGCAAGACTTTGGAGGTGGATGGGGTATTGTTTTGTTCTATAAGAAAAACAAATCAAACTATGCATACCCTTACAACAATATTCTGCCAAGCTGTTTCGGTCTGGTTGTGCACGAAAAACAATGGACCTCGCAGCCCATCGGTGTAGGGTGCAGACAGCCTCTTGATCAGAGCCCGCCCGTCATATTTTACATTATTATATCGTATTCTCGGCGCCCTATAGGTCTCTGGTCTGGTTTGTGTATCGAATACGAACCTCTACGCTACTACGCAGGTCTTCTTTGTCCATCTAACCCTCCAGAGACAGGATGGGGAAGGGGCAGACACAACAGAGGCGGGGAGGTGCGACTATGTATGGAGGAATAGCTCCGGTTGCGGCACAGCTCTGCCGCTCGGTGCTCTCTGAAATATGCCACAGGAGGTAATACGCACATGAAGTACGCGGGCTGTTTGTGTGTGTCGCAAGAAGAAAATCGATTTCGTGCTCAAGGAGGTAACACGCACATGTAGCACGTGGGCTGTTATTATTAGCATCGACCACGCTGACCGGCTGACCAATGAAAAGACGTCAGTCTCAGTTCGGTTGGGCTGTTTATGTGTGTGTCGCAAGCAGCAAAATCTACCAAACTGTCTCGTTGAGCCTGTTACCCACAGGGGAGATATCGTTGTATGCTGTCTGGGAAACCGTAGACATACAGGTGGCCTTTCGCTCACGCTATGGATTCATTGCTATCTATCGTAGACAAATTTATTTCTAGACTATAGAGATGGATTTGTTGTGTGATATCAAGAAAATAAAAAATCTACTTCCAGGCCGAAAGTTGGTCTCGCCAACTCAGGGCGAACATCACCACTCCTCGACTCTGCCCCAGGACTCCTTTGTGTGTCTCGCCGTCGGAAGAAGCTGCCATGAGACATCATGTCACAACTCTGGCACAGGCGTAAGATACGTTTGATTGTATTCACATGTGTGACGTGTGTGGTGGGCCGCACAGCATAAAAAAGTACAGGTGAATCGGCACGGTGAGAGAGGACAGCGCAAGGGCTGTGCTGCCAATTGCCACAGCAGCAATAGCGGCCGCGAACTCACTACCGATAAGCGACCCCAAGACCTCGCAAGAAACAAACCCTTCCAGCCCCATCCCTTCCCACCCATAGCAATGACTCTCTCTCTCACCCTGTCTCCGTGTCGCTCTCATCCCCCTCAACCGTGTGGTACGTTAGCGGAGGGTTTTCCACCGCATTGTTGATATCCGGGAGCGTCACACAAGACCCCGCTCCTTCAACGTAAAGATACTCTCCTNATAGCGGCCGCGAACTCACTACCGATAAGCGACCCCAAGACCTCGCAAGAAACAAACCCTTCCAGCCCCATCCCTTCCCACCCATAGCAATGACTCTCTCTCTCACCCTGTCTCCGTGTCGCTCTCATCCCCCTCAACCGTGTGGTACGTTAGCGGAGGGTTTTCCACCGCATTGTTGATATCCGGGAGCGTCACACAAGACCCCGCTCCTTCAACGTAAAGATACTCTCCTTCGTTCACCCAGCGAAAGGTAGCTTCTGGCGCGTCGGGCGGGCACTCCGTCATCCGTATGCTCCCAGCCGAGGCCGTGCCGACCATCATCCCTACCATTACGAAGCACAGCAGGACGCCGCTGACCCCCAACCCTCCCGAAGCCCCCCGCCGCCTCCGATCCATCTCTGACGATCTCATAGTTTTCTCCCCCTCTCTCCTCCTAGCAGCGACGGAGCCAAGCCGAGATGTAAGTAAGGCTTCGGACAACCACGCGCTCAATTGGAATGCTGATCTTCGTATCAAGGTTAACGTGTTCTGGACGTTGGTTGGCTTTGATGGGAACGTGTGAGAGAGAGCTGAAAAACTGCGACCAAGTTGTTGCATTCGGATCACAGATCTACGGAGATTTGTGTCGGCTCTACAGAACACCATTTTGGATCTTTTGACAATCATCAAAACGTACTTCAGAGCTTTGTGCAAGATGTACTTGACCTTTACGCGCCTATCTATGAAAAGCAGTTGGACAGCAGCGCTAACATGACATGGGATAACCAGCTCAACAAAGAGTTAGACTTTCCTGTCGATTCCGTCGAACTCTCATTTCTCATATAGTTAACATAAACTGCGGGTCCTCATCTGTATCTGGGTGGCGGGCATTTTTTTTCGTGTAGACAAGGTAGACTAACGGTAGTGTCGTCAGCCGCGAAAAAGGCGGAGGGTCGCAACAAACAGCGACTTTTTTTTTCTCCCATCATTGGACTCTGTCGTGGTCCCTATCCTCCACTTCTACTAGCTAGACGACCCAACCGGGGTCACACAGGAGGGGGGGGTTGGACCCCCTCCTGCGGTTTCTGCCTGAGAATATCGCGAGAAGGGTACAGCAATCCCTTCCCTCGCGACTTGCGGAGTCGATAATGATTTGCAAACAACAAGCTTTGCAGCGCGTCGCTTTCATCCATAACCAGGATTTTGGTTTGTACCGCATGGAGCCTCAGTCTTTTCGATTTAGACTGTAGATGCACATTTTTTCTTCCATTCCATTTTCAGTTATACTAACAAGTAGACAAACACAATTGCAAAGCATAAGCCTGTCCGGAGCCTCCCGATTCCGGGCGTGGGTTTCGTGGTGACGCTAGTGACTCGCAGGAACGTCTTTCGCAGTTGTGGCGTTCGTACAGAGGTAATTCGCGCGCGGTTGTTGTTCGGCACCTGTAAGCGTACTTGTGTGTGTTGTGTAGACATACCTGTTTAGTCGCGAGGTGGGAGGACGAGTGAATGACTGCAACAACAGCAACCAAGCCCAGTTTCTCTAGACACATCGACAGAGTCACCTACCGCACTCGACATGAATTCAATCACCCTGTGCTGTAGAATATCCTACGGTGCGTTTACTCGGAAACGGAGCAAATGGCGTCAGACCGCACAGAAGAGGGGGCGAACGACAATGGGCCCCGAGAAGCTACAGCAGAAGAAATTCTTGGGAGGTCATGTCAGACAAAGCGATTGGTGCTGCTTTGGTTCCTTGTGGAAACTTTTGTGCGATACACCTCAACAGCAGCAAAAATAAAGGCCAAACGTCCGTAAAACAAGATACTGCACACATATGTTTCTAAAGCGGCGCAACTGCATGGTATATACGCTGCGCTAAATAGGCTGGGGACGCTGTACATTGCACCATAGCAGCACGAACAGCGATCATCCCAACTACAGTTCGCCAAGTCAGCAAGCACTCGTCCACATTGACTGCGACACTATTGTAGCAATCGCTTAATTAATCTACGCGCAAAAATGCTAGTTAATGAGAAGTCGACAGGCACACAAGATTGACAACGACACACGCTAACCATGAAACAAGACGATCCATGCATGACCCTCTCCCTCTCCCTCTCCCTCAACGACGTCGAAATCTTCGGTGGATAGGTCGGGCAAATACCGTCGTTGGATAAACGTGTTTACAAGTAGACACGGCCCGCCACACAAGTCAGACAATCACCCCCCCCTTTCCCTTAGTTTCAAGCCTACACAGCATATGCTGCGACCGGACCAGTCGGGTGGCTTTCGTCTGATAACAGACCTCGTCAACACAAAAACAACGGGCAAAAACGGGTAAGGGTGCATAATTTCACTATACTACGGATCGGGGGAACACGCACCAAATTCACGACCCCACGAGGTTAAACTACTGCCGACATGATCCCTTTTGCCATGAGAGAGAAGAGATCCGACCGCGCTACCACGACATACGGCACTCGCCAACGAAAAAAGAAGGAATGCTGAAGACAAGACGTTTTGAGTTTCGCCCCCCCCCCCCCCCCCCCCCCCCC